TTTTTTTTTTTTTTTTTTTTTTTTTTTTTTTTAATCACAGCTGTTCAAGCAGTCTATGGAAAACATGAGTTGGTCTATCTTCCAAGGCAGAAGATAATTATACCTATCAAATTATAGTCAGTTATATACTCTATGTGTAAGAGGAGAGACTATCAAGTAAAACAAAGAAATTCTAAAAATAGAAGAGAGTGTGTATGTGTGTGTCAAAGGTGGAGGCTTATTTTATTCTATTTATAGTTTATTTTATTCCATTATCTTTTGTTTCTTGGTTTTAATTTTTAAATACAGCCAGGAATACAGCAAAAATTCACAAAACAAGGTTTATAAAATGCTAAATACCTACTTGAAAAATGAAGGCCTTTCTTCCCCAATAATACCCTTTGGCCACTTGGATATTAAACCTCCTGCAGATACAAAGACTCCACTCCAAGCTTTCTCCCTGGCAATAAGCTATGAAAATCCCCACTCTCCTCCAAGCTTTCTCCCTGGCAATAAGCTATGAAGGACAGGGGGTAGCATTAGAGCTAAGATCTTGAGATGATCAAAGTACGCATTTTTCCTGCAAGTAAATAAAGATGAAATGAGTTGATAGATATACGTCAATTCCGTCCCTACCGCCACCATCTCTTCTGGGTCTGAATGTCTTGTCTCTCCACAAGCTCTGTCTCTGTGCCTCAAAGTTAGCTTAAAGTGAAATTGCCTCTGAGCAAGTCTACTGTTAGATTTCTCCAGTGAGCATGGGATAAAGAGGTGGCCTTACTAAAGCTACAGTATTTGGGTTAGAATCTCAAATAGCAATTTATTTTTACTCGGTAACAAGTATTCATTAGGCATCTATCATGAGCCAGTCACCTTAAAGACACAAACAACTTTGATTTATTAAGAAGGGACTGCATTTGAGAGGATTGGTGCAAGAAGGCAAAAGAATGATTATAATAAGGCGAATGCTGTGACCATCTGATCCATAAGCACCTCAAAGAGTTCCACAAAAGGGTTTCTACTCTATAGGAAGGGGAGAAGGCTATCAAGAAGCCAGTGTGAAGAAATGGGATGGGTGAAAGGGTGGCATGATTGGATAGTAGGTCCGAGTATGTCTTACCATGAGGCCAGCCCGTTCTCCCCTGGGGTTGACTGTTGCCTCAGGCTGAGTGTGGGCCTAAGTTCTGAGTCCTGGGAAAGGACAGAACATTAACTGAAAGCTGGTTAACAAACATTTCCCTCTAGTTGATGAGTGGAATTAACTCAGGGAGAAAGCAGTTTAGCTAATCACTCCTGAAACCAAAAAAAAAAAGGAAATTGGAAGGGTCTGTGCCTGGCTCATCACAGGTAAACAAAGGAAGGCAACCATGAGTCTTTCATTGGAAGGAGAATTTTTATTTGCAAGTAAATAAGCCATTTCCCAGACACAAGGAGTAGGAGGATTTCTTAACTTTCATGGTTTTCCAGGATCACAGGAAGTGGTTTAAGTTCAACATTGTCAGGATGTGGCAACAAAATAGACAGGTTCTCACATGACATTCCACGGGGAGATGAACCAGACTCCTTTGACCTGTCCATTTATGCAGGCATTTTTAATCCTATTAAGTGCTGGGAATGAAATAGGATGATAGGAGGATGTTGGGCAGTGAGTGGTAGAATGGATTTCTCTGACTGAGTAGACAAGAGAAGGTCACTTGAAAAGAGGGTATGTCTGACTTGAGATGTAATTTTTAAAAGCTTCCTCATTTATTTCTTCCATCATAAAGAGACAGAAAGACAGGCATCCCTGGTAGGCGCCTCACACCACAATCTACCCCGGATGGTGGGCACACGCACAGGCACCCAGTGTGTAAGAGAGGTCCTAGGACGCAAACCCAGGAAGGACCTTTCCATGTGAATACAATTGCATTACGGCTGGGCCACCACCTGGCCCCTGAGTTGAGAAATAACTGATGGACAAGAGCAATTGTGGTCAAGCATCCCTCCTGCATGAAGTGGAGAGCAGCGATGAGAGGGAAGAGGAAGGCAGGACCCAGATAGGTAGATCTGACAGGCCTTGGTTCAGGCTGCTCTGAGAGGATGGACAGCAGAGAGGAGGTGAAGGCAGGAGACAGGTTAGGAAGTGTCCAGGAGCTCAATGGAGATAGAGTGAGTGTCTGGACTGGGATTGTGCTATGTGAATGGTGAAAAGTAATCAAATTCAGCAGCTATTTTAGAAGCAGGGCTAACAGTGTTTGCTAGTGAAATTCATGTAACAGTAATCCCCTCACGGCACCTACTATGTGCGAGGCACTGTGCTGAGTGTTTTACACTAAATCTTCAGAAAATTCCAAAGAGATAGGTACTATTATTATCCTTATACTACAAATAAGAAAACTGAGGCACAGAGAGAGTAAATAACTAGTCCAAAGTCACTGAGCTAATAAGTAACAGAGCTGGAATTTGAACCCTGGCAGACTCCATGGCAAAGCCCAGCTTGGATGGATCTTAGGATTTTGGCTGAAGTATTGGGTGAATGGTAGCACCATCTGTTAAAGATAATTAATACTGGTGGGAAGTAGTTTTGTTTTTGTTTTTGTTTTTTTGGCTTTTTTTTTTTTTTGGTTAATGAGAGTTTT